TGCTGAGAGACAATCATTTCCTCTTTGTCTTACTGTTCTTAGGGACGTGGTTGTCAGCACAGGTGAATATCATTGCTGGTCATCAGAGACTTTTAGGATGTGTCAGAGGAGTTGCCTGAGAGGGAGTAATGTCATACGGGTTAAGATTTGTGTGTGGAGGAAGAAGAGAAAGGATGTGAGAATACAGAACAGTGACAAAACAAAGGTTGAGATTGCAGAACAAGGGGGAAATTCTATACCATTCCTTGCTTTTTGAATTCTGTTTCCTTTATTTCTAGCCTTAACAATGTTCTTGTAGCTGATTTTTAAAACTGGATCTATCAACAAGCCAATAGGTTGTGGAAATTGGTGGGGTTTGGGGTAGGGATTGGTTCTCTCAAGATACAGTTCCTCAGGTTCAGCTGTGTAGCTGGACGGAAGTGGTTAGATGTAACTTTTAGATACTGCACAGTGACAGTGTTGCTTGCTTTGTTTTGAGAAACTGAGTGGTTTAATACCTGTGATTTCACTCAGTCTTCATGCATGGATAAGAGAGTGTGCTTTTATGGAGCTTATTCTGTTAAGCCATTGGGTTGCACGTCTTCCTTCTCCCTCTGCTGTCCCTCATTCCCTCGCTCCACCCCCCTCAGTACAAGTTAAGACTTAACCTTTGATTGTAGTGTTCAGTGATCCTAATTTTATTGGTTTTTTCACACTTAACTATTCTGAAATTGCTACTACTAGGCATGGCCCATGTAAACTCCCTGCAGAAGTGAAAATTTAGGTCTTGCTATGTAAACTGACTTTCTGCAAAGGTAACTGTTTCAGATACTGTTTCACCCCAGTATTCATGTGTGTGTCTGTAGCAGTTTTAAATAGTGATATTTGTTAGAGTCCTGTCTTTGATGAATGTTTCAGTCTAAGAAAACTTGGATGGAGCTGGTAAAGATGATCTCCTGGGTGGGAGCCAAAAGTCTAGCCCCCAGCAGCAAGAAGTACCTGCAACAGTGTAGTTAAGATCAACAGCCCAGGTTGTAGTCTGGTCTCCTTTTGCAGGAAGTTGAAGTACGACAAAAATAATTTTTTCTAATACATTTGAATATGTAAATCATTCAGTTTGTCTTTGAGGGATCGTCCATAGTGATTCCACAGCCTTGTGAGCAAGATGTGTGTTTGACACAATGGTCTATTGTAGCTGTCCCTGTGGGGTATGTGCCCTCAAGCCTTTGATTTAAGTGTACAAAGGGCCCAGCAACCACTTGCTGCCTGTGGCACTGAGATACAACCTGGATACCATTTGCCACCTCTTCCTGCTTCTGTTTTGTGGGTTAGCTTGGTTGCCTATGGAACCCTCTGCCTATGCACAGTCCTGTTCCTCATTTTAGGCTTGAGTTGCCCACTTGCCATGCTGCCATGAAAAAAGAGGAGGTTTAACATCTCCTTCATGAGCTAAATTTTTTTTGTCATCAGAAGCTAAATGTTCAAGTATATTGTTGGGCTGATGCCCCTCGTTTTAGAAACCGAGCTTGAAAAGTAGTTATTATTCCAGAATGGACATTCATAATGTTATGTGCTTGCTCAGACACTGAACTGAAGAATCTAAGGTGTGTGTTGGTGCTGCAGTCTGTCCCATGCCTGACCATCCAGTCCACCTGCAGTTGGATCCTCAAGCTCCCTGACTGCACTGGCCCAGGGTGTTTTCCCTCCCACTCTACCTCAGCAGCCCATTAGAGATGACACTAGTGCAGCATTTCTTTCTCTAAGATTGACTTAATACCAGAGGCAAGACAGAAAAGTTAGGAATAGTATTAACACCGTGATCGGTGGGATCTTATGCAAAGTGTCAAAATGCAGGTGTTGCCCACTGAAGCTCTGCCACATCTCTGGTTAGCAATTCTTTTGGGTCTAGTTGCTCCCTTAACAGGTGATCTATTAAGGCATCAAAACAATAGTGGTTTTACTCATTCTGATCATGTCACAGACACAGTTATTGAGCCTAGGAATGGTTTTGCTTTGTTTTTTGGGCTGGGGAATGACTTAGCCAACATTTAACAAGTTAATAGAGTTAGAAGCAAAGGAGGTGGTTTTGGCACCGATTTTGTCTCCTAAGGGTATTTGTTCTCTAATGGAATTAAATCCTCACTCATTCTGTGTTCTCTCAAGTCCCATCTTGTCAAATCATTCTCCTGTGTGACTCTTTTGGCATTACAGATGCTCATTTCTGTGCCTTTTCCTGTTTTTAAAAATCCTATAGATGTAATAAGGAGAATCCAATGCAAAGGGTAGTAGAAAGCTTTCTGTAAAGAAAGCTTTTGTGTGTGTTGTGTTTTCCTATAGCCTCAGTACCTGTAGTACTATGAGTCTGGAACCTCACTGGAGAGTGTAATCAGTCAGTTAATCCCAGTCACTTGTTTGGAGTTAGGTATTTTTAACACTTTGCTCCAAGAGACTGTGTAAACTAAACACAGCACAATCATTCTGTATCCCGATTGGATTCTGTGAATTCAGTCTAATCAGTAAGGTCAGCTGGGTTGGTCTGTAATCTTAGAAAAAGAAAAGTTACAAGGAAGATGAGTATAACAGGGAGGCTGGTGTACAGGAACAGATGCAGTTTGCTGTGTTCACAATGTTTCTGTCCTTACATAGATGAAATGTTAGGTATGCTGCTGGTGATGGTGCAAGAGGAGTTTTGTCAACACAAATACCTTACACCCATTTTCAAGTTGCTGTTAATGTCTGTAAATTCATTTTTAACCCTGTAGGAGACTGCACAGTTCTTCAGTTTGCGCTCTACATACTCCCTGTAGGCTGGAGATGCTGAGCTAGCAGGAGTTCCCCAAGTGTCCACTTAAAGAAAAGGACAAAAGCAGCCTCTAAATCCTTGGGGTTTAATGTTGTGTCTGTGAAGTGTCTGTCAAGTGGTTTAGTCTGTACAGGATCACTTGAACTGTGCTCCATCTGCAGTACTGAAAGGAGTCAGACTGAGGGACCAGTGATAGCTGACAGAGCCATAGAAGGCTCATCTGTCACATGTGACTCCACTGGCAGTTGTAAGAAGATTTTCCAGGGTCTTCAGGACTTCTTGGGGAGTTTTTTCACTGCTTTTGCCTTAATTGAGCTCTCAAGGCCTTCCATTGCTGTCCTCTCTCAGCAGCCCACATGGAGGAGGCAGGTGAAACAGCAGATATTGGATGTGACAGTACCAGAGAAGACTGGACCCTGCCTGCAAAGAAACAAATACTTACGTGGGCAGATTATAGGGATTTTAGCTTATTTTC